GGAAACATCTAGCTGAGAGGCAGCATGGGCCCTTGCAGACAATTTTGGCAGCATTTGCACCTCCAAGCACTGAAAAAATCCCTGCCTTTTTTTTTTTTTTCTCAAATTTAAAGATATCATTGTCTCAAACAACTGTTCATGAAACAATGAAGTGAAGTCTATCTACCAAAATGTATTAATTTAATCAGACCCTCATACAAGTATATTAGGAGAACTGAGTTTACATGTGGAAATTTAGTTGAAAAATGTTTGTTGAAATGATTAGTATGTTGAAACTAACCATGTTGGAGTTTTTGGCTTCATTTTCTCTTATTGTCTTTCTCATTTTCCCTCTGCAGTCTGTGAGAAAAGATCATTGGGAAGCCATTTTTGTTCAGGCAAATAGATTTATTTTAAATGAATCCAAACATAAAATGTGGGCCAGACTTTTCATGATTGCTTTTATGACCCTGCAAACTCTCACACACAACCCCCCCCCCAACACTACATCTACAAAATGAAACAGATAAATACTCCTACCTTTCCTTTTAGAAAGAAGCTTAGCAGATTTTGATAACTGAATCTGAGAGCTTCATATAACTCTTACGTGTTTCAGAAAGTTTTAGAGAATGGGGGGAAAAAAATATTTCAATGCTTTTTATTCATATTCTCTATGCGTTTTATAGGTGTTTACCATCAGCCTACCATAGGCAATATTTCTTTAAAATCTATGATACCAACTAATAGTAGTGCTAATAATAGAGGAACTGCCTTATGAGCTATGAGATTTCAAACCAGAGACTGAATTTCACATGCTTGAAAGAGTATTTGCTATCGCGAGCTTGTGAAAAGCCATATCTCAAACATATTGAGTTAAAAAAAAAAAAAAAAAAAAAAGAGAGAGAGAAAATACCCTTTATTATTGCAAAAAAGTCAAAACCAGTTTAAAACTAAAAAATCAGCTAATGAACGAATGGCTTGAAATTATTTCTTTTTCTTTTCAGTCGGGTTTCTTAGAAGCAGAAATTTAGGAAAGAGGCATTATCTGTTAACCTAAAATTCTCCCTTTTGATAGAAAATGACATTTCAGTCATTTAAAGCAGGCATCAGCCTAGCATTCCAACTCCCATCTGATCCAGGGTTCCTCAAGTCTCTATTTGTTGCTAGGGACACTTAATGGAGACTTTTTCTTCAAGACAACAAGTTTAGGAAATACCAAAGATACTCTATAGAATATTATTATTGCATTGCCATCTCATTTTCTCTGCATTTTGAGGGGCAAAGAAAATCTGAAAAATCACGTGCCAATTAATATGGATGTTGTCCTGGTTTCCTGAGAGAATGAAAGAAGAATTTTACAGTAATTACATATTTAATTACAACTTTATTTATTTATTAAGAAGAAGTATAATGCATATTGAAAAAGTAGAAGGATGTAGATAACCCTAAAATAAAAGATAATGCTAAATCTGAATTTTAAGAATAGTATATAATTAACTAATGAAAGACTTTCTACAATAGCATTCTCAAATCTAGAGTATAATTTGTGCTTTTCCAGACAATTCTTCACTTCAAAATGCCCATACTATTTGTTCTTGAGGCCAAAATGGTTTTTATCTATATTTAGAATTCTTCCTAACAGTTTGGGTTCTAAAATGTGCTGAAGAGGTAATACCAATAGCTGGAAACATATACAGCTAAAACATTAGGTTGTGAAAAAAGATGAAAGCAGAAAAAAAAAAGAACCCAGACAAGTTAAAAGAGCAACATTGTTTGTGCCAAACATTAAGATATTAAAATATTTTTTGTTTGGTTGTTTTGGTTTTTTAAGGTTTAAGTCTTGCCTTCAAGTCAGCCTGATAAATACTTCCTGGGTTTTTACATACATCATTTAAGTCCATGTCCTGTACTTCTATAATTAATGTTTTGCCAGTGACTTAAAAGAAAATACCTAAGTCAAAAGCCAGAAGACTTGAGGGGGTGGAATTAATCTGACCATATGTTGATGTTTATATCTGAGTTAATCTCATGGAGTCCCTTTAGAGTTATAGGAGAGATATATTGCCTTCCTGGGTAAGGTTTGTTGCATCCTGAAGTAGGTGTCTAAAACAAACTGGATGAATCATGCTCTGAAATACCTGTTTCTCATCTCTTGCTGTGAGAGGTGCAGGTAGAGACATTTGTGTTACAGTGTTGAGTAGCTAGATAACTTGCACTAGTGACGTTGAATCATGCCATTTCAGATTAGAGAACTGTAGTGATAAGAGCTTCAAAATAGCAGCACCAACTGGGGTCAAAAGAAATCTGTCTCCACCCGAGAGGTAGCTGTTTTGGGTGGCTCAGTATAGCAGTCAGAAAGGGCAGTTCAGGCATAGGTTGCTCCCTGCCCCTCAGCATGGCAAGACAAACACTCGTATTGGTCTGAATATTGTAATTCACAAGTGGGTTGCACTTCTGAAATTTTGAATGCATAATTGGTAGTATGGGAATGTGTAAACGTACTTTTAGTTTCCCATTTCTAAGAATCATACAGAGCTCCCTTCTTGTGATGCAGTTTAGAATTGATACTATGTTAGTATAAGGAAATGGGATTACCACTGAATATTCAGGATGCTGAAGATCCAGTAGAGACATGGAATTAATGTTGCTAGCTGTTAATTAATGTTGATAACTCCAGTCAGCAGTGCTAGCTGAAGCAACAAAAGTAGTAGGGCCTGATCTTCAGGAAGAGTTAGCAAATAAAATACATATATAATTAATAGTCACTCCTTGTTACAGTGAGCTCATGGGCACCCTGTGCCCCCCCTTCCCCGAGACCCTGTGACTCTGATCAAGATAACCCCTGGACCCTTCTTTCTACCCCAACGGGGTTGGCGGAGAGCCAGGAAAGCCCAACCTGTCCAAAGTCTATATAGACCTCTGACATTTCCTGTTCATCCTCTTTTGCCCCGCTCTCTACAAGGACATCACAGAATAAAGAAAGATGTACCAACTTCTCCTGGGGTGAGAGTCTCTTTTGAATATCTTTACCCTTCTCCTGATATTCCTCCCCTCACAGCCCCTTATCTCTGAGCTAGTTGGATTCTTCGGGGGGCTGCGTGAGGGGGGGAACCACAACTCCTGAGCTGTTTTTTGTTTTTAATCATCACTTGTGACACTGACAGGGCTGGCCATAGTGTCTTGCAGAGGTGCAGAGATGTGGTCCAACCTTTCTGAGTGTGGAAGCTCTGGTCTGAGAGCCATCAAACATGGAGCCTCTGGTACTGTCCCTTCTTCCTACTGGGGCCAACTGCTGTTCCCCCGGGCTGGGGTCCTGCTGAGCTCCTAATTCAGAGAAGGGGAAATGCAATGCCGCCCTGATTCTTAAGTTTTTCTAAAGCCTTCTGAGTTTACATTCTGTTGGAAAACTTTCCCACATAATTTCTGTAAATAACATATTGTTTTGCATTCCTTCATGGGGGTGGAGAAACTTGATGTACTAGTGGTTTGTCCAATGTCTTTGGAGAGGTGGTCCATTCACTCTCCAATCCACTGTCACCTTTGGAAAAGTATAAAAGTTGGAGTCAGAAAATAAACTTCCTCTTTTGCCTTGCAAAATAGCAGGTGGCTCGCGTTGTGCTTTCTCGTGTCCTATAGCAACAGTGCAAGGCTTAATTTCTGCCCTGGCCTACATTCTCATGTCCAGTCTCTCCTGAGCTTTATCAGGGGCAATGAACTCCTGCCTTCATCTTCCTCTCTAAGCAAATTCTTGCATAGTCTTCCATTTGCTGGGAGGTCCAGGACTATGACTGGACTTCCTGAACATCTTGTCCTCTCCAGCACCTTTTGCTCTGTCCTCTGCAATCTGTCGTCCTGGAGGATGCTCCTCCATGGCAGGGGCTCAGTCGTCTCCATGCCAGCAAGTGCCAAGAGTCACTAGTGTGAACTGACCGTATTCCCTGAGTTCTAGAGAGGCTTACAGTGCTCCCTCTAGCTAGAGGGGCATACAGCTAAGGGCATGGATATAGAATCCTAGGATCTTAGCAGCAAATTCTCCAATAGATCAGAGCATTTCATATGAGTTATTTTTAACAAACTAAGACCAAAGTAGCAGATTTGTCTTTCTGTAACTTTCTCTGTATACACGATCCCCAGTTTGAAGTTGTCTCAATTTAAAATATGGTGCACACTTGGATCAGGTTTCTCTTTGGAGTCTTTAGACTTCTTAGAAAATTTGTCTTCTTTTCAGATCAGAAGACTTTTAATGATTTTTTTTCTTCTAATCACTTTGCCAATTAGCACTCAAAATTCCCACTTCTTTTTATCATCAGTTTAATGAAAAAGACCCAAACCATGGAAAAATTCATCCTGACCTTTTTTTTTTCCTAATGTGAATTAGAAAAACTAAAGTAACGGTGAAGGAAGATTTGTTCATGTAAAAACTTTATGTGTGTGTATATATATACATATATATACCATTATGTCACTGTTTAAAAAAGTCCTGTGTCCGTGTTAAGATACAATGGTACGCTGCTATTATTATTATTATTGTTAATAATAATAATAATAATAATAATAATAATAATAATAATAACCTGATTTTGGTGGTTTTAATGCAAGCTAATTTAGAGTATATTATAATTAATCTCAGTAGTTTACTAGCAGAAGGTAAAAAAAATTAGCAAACAAAAATTTAGCAAACACAATATTTACACATATATTGCATTCTGTGTACATTCTGTTGTGGGGATTTCAGTGATTTCTAGGACACTTTCAGATTTCTAAAAGGCAGGAATGTGCTAGAACAGGTTGCCTGGAGGAACTGTGGATGCCCATCCCTGCAAGTGTTTAAGGCCAGGCTGGATGGGGTTGTAAGCAACCTGGTCTAGTGTAAGGTGTCCCTGCCCATGGCAGGAGGGTTGGAACTGAATGGTCTTCAAGGTCCCTTCCAAGCCAAACCATGTTATGCTTCTGTGATTTCTGCTCCATGACAGATTCCATCTATTGTGAATATTTGCAGTATGACTTTGACTTTCCTCCAAGCATTTACAAATATTTCTTCATAGGAGGATACAAAGAACATAGGGGTAAATGAATAAAAATAAAACAAAAGAAGACACCATGTTAACAAAACTGCACTTTAGCTGAGTGGCTTAGAGACAAACCCTACAATTTTTTTGTCAAAACAAGGGTTCAGTTTTAGTACAGCCACATGCACAATTAAGGTTCTCTTCCATTTATTGTCACCCAAAGTGCCACTTAGGAGTGGTAGAAAGACGTACATTCCCTTCACATGAGGAACCCACAAGGACCAGACCATGGAGGATAGATGAGAACTGTATGATACATGCTCTTCTCTTGTGCATACCCAAATCTTCAATCCCAGAATGTATTCATTTTAACAGCCTTCAGAAAGCAGCTTTAAGTACTTCTCTAGCTTATTTTTCCTAAAATAAAAAATAAAATCAGAAATTAAAAAACAAAATCAGAAAAAAAGAAAATACAGGAAAGAGCATAAATAGGTAAGGTTATTACAATATTTGCACCATTTGTAATATGAAGACCTTTTCTATCAAAATGCAACATTCCATTAAAAGTCAAATTTATTTAAGATAGTTATTGTCTAAATGCAACCATGAAATCACCCAAAAATAAAATTTTTAATTCTGTTCATCAGTATGGTTTTATTACTAGTAGAATGAAAATGCCATTTGAGAATAATATACAAATTCAGTAGTGGACCTGAGTGATGAAGAAGCTGATCCCAGGAGCTAGAGATTCAAATTAAATGTAGGAGTTTGTTTAGTTTGCTAGATTTCCTGTCACAGCAGGGTTTCCTCAAAGGATGAAATAAACCAATAAGCAGCATATTTCAGAAGGAACACATACCATCACATTGAAGCAAGATCTTCTGTCTTCTCTACCTCCCCTAGGATAATCTCTAGCTGCTTCACTTGTCTCTCTTTGGGGAAGTTGGTATTGATTTACTAGTCAGAATGGTTTGCAAATTTTTTCAGATTGAAACTGTAAGAAAAAGTGGAAATATTCATATATTCATGCTTTTTATAGAAAGAAATTTAAGAATACATAAAGTAATTAATTCCACCCATTTCAAGTAATTTACTAAAAGTTGTAGAATGTGGTTGGTAACAGATCTAAGTAGTAAGTCAGAAATTCTTGTCTTTTGCATGTCTTTGCCTTCTAAAGTGCAAGCTGATATTGTTTTAAAGTAAGTGGGCTCCTGACTTCTTCTAAATTCTGCCCAAAATATGCAGAAACAGTAAAGTACTGCCAGGATGGACTCACAGGCCACTAAACTCAAGTGTTCTCACCATATCTCATCAAAGATCAGAGTCACCTGAAGACAGCCTTGCTCTGTAGTAACGTGCCCTTGTCAAATTTCAAGCAAGCAATTTTGAATTTCATACTAATCTGTTAATCTTTTTAAAATAGAATAGTTTGTCAAAAATATACACATATGGATGTAGGTATTCTAAATTATAGAAATTGTAATTAGTAGAGATTTTGTATATAACAAAATATCTGTACCTTCCATCCTGTCTGCATATATATATATATATTACTAAGCCTACTGGAAAGGAGTTTTTAATGCATTTTATATATTAATAAGGTGAAGGAAGATATTTTTATGTCACTGTAGTTTGCCACAATGAAAAAGCCTAAATATATATATTATTGAAAATATTTGTTGAAAATAAAGTGTGTAAAACATAGATAAGCTAAGTTCATGCAGAAAGTGGATATGCTTTATATTATATGCTTTTATTTAAAATGACAAAAAATTAGTTTTGTTCTTTATTTTTCAAAAGTGCTCCTCTATCTTTTAGCAAAATTCTCTTTCCAAAATAAACACCAAGGTACCAAATTTTAGTGCCAATGGCAGAAATCTGAGATAACGTCAAGCAACTATGTATGATTTCTTAGACTGGAAAATGTAGCACCTTTATTTGGGTAAGAGTATTCCTATGATTTATATTTAGGCCCATGTATACTCTCAATATAGCATATACATTCATATACGGTGCTTATGTAAGTGCATACATAATATATTTGCTCAGTTCTGCTCTATTGTAATAAGGTCAGAGAGAGAAAGAATCTACTCTTTTGACTGACTGTTGAAATAACATCTTCTGAATTTGATCCGGTCTGGAAAGGATAATAATAAGAGATAACAAAGTTGTTTTGGGGGTTTTTTTGTATGCTATTTAGAGTTAAACTCTTACTCTACAGTTTGTAGCATTTCAGCTGTTTGGATGCATCAGGTGGTACAAAGGAACAGAATAATGAAAATGAAAATTCTACATTCTGCATACATCAAACAGAAAGCAATGGGTATTTTGTGTGTGTGTAATATTTCTCATTAATTGTAGGTTTGCCTTTGAGATACTGTCCTGTTGTAATAGGACTATAATAGAAGTCTTGTGCAGATTTAAATTTCAGATTGATGTGAATTTAATTAGAAAACATCTATCTACATCATGAAAAATTAAATAAAATAGTATTTTGAAGAAAGTATATATCTATGTATAAAACATCTTTATATTTTTACAGTTTGTTTGTAACTTGAAATTCAGTTTCTAGGGTTTTATTTTTTTCCTTAGGATGGAAAAGTCTTCAAAATTGAGGTCACATGTTTAGCCATTAAATTATTTTGTTCATTAATTGAACTCATATACCATTTAAAATGGAATTTATTATCTTGAGAACTAGGTTTTCTTAGTAGCTTACTGTGGACAAACATATTAGCTTTGTTTATCTGTAGATGTGAAAAATAGTGTATATATTAGCTACAGGGAAAGGCTTCCCCATACAACATACTTCATTCTGCTGGCTGTTGAATATTTGATACATTAATACATATTTATATTCTGGAGTTTGGGCAGTGTTTGTAAAGTCAGGCAGATTTAGTGCCTAAAATAGTTTGTAGCCTCAGAGAAAAGTGTCAGCATAAAAATAATAATTTTATCTTAGTTCTTTACACACAGTATCTTTTTTTTCTTCCCTTGTGAAATCAAACTTGAGATAAAATAAGAGAAACAATCACAAACTTTTTGAGTTTACAGCCATTCTATTCCAAATCTCCATGCTAATGGGGAACACAAGAATAGAGATGCACAAGTTTTGGACTTGTGAAATATATTTTCCAATATTTTTCTACTACTCTGTGAGTATACAACAAGGTGCAACTGAGACTATCCCAATGAATATTCACCATTGTATGTCCTTCAGTGGCAAACTGCTTTAAAAATCATTATAGTCATATGCATTTTAACTCTGTTACATCTTATTCAAGTTTGTGACGGTGCTTCATTTTTCCATGTGGACTGAAATATGTCCTACTTGGATAATGTATACTGAAATGATTTGGGACTCTCTCCTTCAACAGTGGCAACTGAAAATGTAAAACCTCCCCAGTATTGATAGGATGACAAAGCTAGCCTGAATATGAATGCTCCCCTGTTTTTATGCTTCTTCAACTTATTCTGAACAATGACCAAGGAATTGAAGGTGGGCTACCATTGACCTTGCAGTCACAAATACTCTTATATGCAGCCTTGAGAAAAAGAGCAAGTGTTACAGAAGATTGTCCTTCTGCACTGTCAGGAGCATTTTACAGTAACTTTGAGGTACTCAGGGCAAGTCTGCTCCCTTAAACAAGGAGGCACTGAATAATTGTTGCCTAATTAGAGAAATTTAATTGTATGCAAAGCAAAAAGGATGGAAATTCAGATAGTAATAAGGCCCTACCTGTGCTGGACTCAGACAGCTCATCTTGGGCTTGTTTAAACCTGAGTTTCAATTGCACTAAGTTATTTGGGTCAGTTCAAATTCAGGATGCCCTGGAGACAATCATGACTCTTGATGGAAATTGTTATGAATAATGGGGCTATTTGGCTATGAGTAGGAAATATGTTCCCTGTTAAATCATTGTCACCCCAGGCAAGAATACTATTCTCCCAGCTCTTTCCTGTGACCTTCTCCCTTCCCCCTTATTCATTTGCTCAAGGGCTGTTCTGCCTTTGCCACGCTTAATGGTTCCCCTGATGGCTACAAGTTGGCATTGCACGAGGTGGAAATAAGGACTAAATCCAGAGGGACAGTCAGATATTGAATGTAATGTTTTGAGGTTTTTGCTTTGTTCGTTGATTGGTTGGAGGGTTTTTTTTTTTTTTGGTTTTGGGTTTTTTTGGGGTTTTTTGTTTGTTTGTTTGTTTTCTCTTTACATAATATCCCCCATTCAAAAGATGAAAGGAGAAACAGCCAACCCCTGCATAATATCTGTTATCTGTTGTCTGACATGGTCCCACTGTCACTTAGTACTGTTTTAGAAGTGCTCTACCATATGCTCATTATCTGTGGTTCTGGAGAGAGGATATGCCAGTAGCTGAAAGTTGTTTTTATTAATTTCCCTGTTACTATGTATTCCACCTCTTTCAGATCAACATGGAACAAAACATAGAAATTTCTGGAAATCTGTAAGGGGACTTATTATGCACTGAGAACCAAAGGATGTATTGATTTTTCATGTATTGCATAACTGGCACAAATAGAAGTAGTAGACTCTTCCAAGACTGTTGATTAACTGCAGTTTCTTGAAATTTTAGAAAGTATAACTAGTTAACTTCCCAGACTTCCTGCCTCAAACAATAGAGGTAAAATATGTAGAAAACTGTATCATCTACTTACAGTAAAAAGCCTAATGATAGTATTAGAATAAATACTCTTATTTCAAAACTATTTCAAAATTATTTACTAAATAAAATGTGGCCAACTTGTTTGTGAATTATTTAATATAAGACTAAGTTAATATTCTTAGTTATGATGTAGGAAACATGGGTATAGGAAAGAAACTTGCTTTCAGAAGATCTGAAAAGAAAAAGAATGTTGCTTCTTAAATATTCAAGTTAATACCAGGGGAAGAAATTTTACATTCTAATAAGCCTATTTTAGAACTTTCACAGAACTCAGAAAAGAATTTAAAAATAATGTGAGAACTTTTCATCATAATATGAAAGCTGTAGTACAGTAACATGCTCTTCTTTTCTGTCTTTCCATCTTCAACCTATGATTATTTAAAATTACATTAACTATTCCATTATAAGTGCAGAATGAAAACCTTTACAAAGTTCCTTCTGTGCATCACTTCCTATGCTGATGTTAACTACAGAAACTGTGGATTATTCATATGAGATGATGTCAAGATTGTCTTTGTCTGCATATAGAAGACCAGATTCAGATATCAAGAATATTTGTCACCAGGACAGTCAGGCTTATCAAACCTATTGTAACAGCACATTGAGATTCTGCTCTGCTGAAAAAAGGGCTGCATCCAAGAGAAATATTGTCATAAAACATTTCGTCTGGAAACCACATAATTATAAATAATAGGATAAACTTCTCAATTCTAAAAGCACATTATGTCACATTAATTTTTGAAAGATGTTGCGGCTTTCGGGGGTCACTTGCGGCTGTCCCCCGTCCCTCCCCGGCCCCCCGGGACCCCTCCGGCTAGCTGTCCCCTCAGGGGACCGGGGTTTGCCGTGGTCCCGCTGCACTGGGCTTACCAGGCAGCGGCCGGGTTAGCACGGTCCGAGCGGCGGTGCACCTCGGTCGCCGCAAGGAGTCGAGATAAAGAGACGAAGAGAGGTCAGTTGTATGCAGTCCAGAAAGATTGTATTGCCTGAACAGTTGCAGGGACAAAAGACCCTGGGCTACTGCCCAGATACAGTTTTATACAGCAAAATTAAGAGATAAGGTCTAAACAATAGAGACAGTGTTCAGCATGGGCTCATCAGAACCACCCCAGGGGTCAGGTCCAATGGGAACTGCTCAGGGGTGGGGAGAAGGGGGTTTGCATAAAGATGCTGAAGCGAAACTTTCCCGAAACAATGGGGCATACATAAATGTATCTTTTCCTCATACCTAAATGTATCTTTTCCTCAGTTTCCAACTCCCAAGGCCTTTCTAAATCCCTTCCTCCACACTACCACGCCAGCGTGATAGCAACAAGATGTGATTTTTTTTGCACATTTATATTGAATAGAAGATCAAGAACATTTAGTTGTCATATTTTCAAATTATTAATCAGAAGTTATAAGAAGACTCTGTGAACTAAGCATATAGTTTTACATGTGTCTGTTTTCATAATTTCATTCAGACATTTATTTTACAGACATCCGCATGGCTTCATACATCATGAAGGCATCTAGTGTTTCCTCTTTCATATGTACTTTGGATAAAGTTTATTTTATTGTGTCAACAAGAGGAAATGCTTGAGAAATTGAAATACTGTCAACTATGTCCTTGAAGTTCTATAATGTATATATGTGCAATTTTGTTGCTGATGCAACTTAATA